TTATATATAATATTTAAAAATTTTAAATAAAAAAATAATATAGTTTAAGCTATAAAATTTATAGTATTTATTTATTTAAATAAATTGTTTTTTTTGGTTATTAATTTTAGTATAATTCGAAAAAATTTGAAAAAATAAAATAAATTAAAAAAAATATACTATACGAATATATTTCAATTTATTATATTTTTGGATATTTAATTAATTTTAAATAAAAAAGAATTTAAAATATTTTAATAAATTCGAACTTATTTGCATTTTTTAAATTATTAATTTACTATTTTATTTATTTTATAAAAGTTTTTTAATACTATCTAGTCAAGTAGTAAATTTTGTATATTTTAAATAAATTTAAATTAGTTCGAATCTTATCAAAATATTTTATAACAAATTTTATAATATTTCATAATATATTTCGTAATATTTCGTAATTAAAAATTTGAAATATTTTGCATCAATCGTAATTATTGCAGAATTTTTCAGGATATAATAACTTTTATAAGATTATGTTTATATATTTTGCTGATATTAGAACTGTCTTAACCTAAACAACAACTTTAATTAAAACCCAAATACAGTCACAACTCCATAAATGCACGCCCTTGAGACTAATCTTAGCCGTGCATTTAAAGAGAGTGTGTACTTATAGATATTACAAATTTATGTTATACAAATTCAAATATCGATTAACTAATCAAATTGTAGTGCTAAATTGTAATAATAAAAAAATATCAGATGTTATTATTCGTAATTAATAAAGCTTGGCATGTTTTTTATAGTAATCTTAGCTAATAATTAAAAAGCACTTCGCTAAATTATTCTTTTTTTCTTTTATTATTATTTTTTTATGCAATTGATCTGAAATATAAAAGTAAATTTGAAAAGTGAATCTAATCAAAAGTATAAGTGGTCAAGTGATAGAGGGATTTAGAATTAATGATTTGACGTCCGATTTCAGATAAAATAAGTGACGTATTTATTTTAAAAAAGTGATATACGAATTCTATTTTTTTAAAAATTATTTACATAATCACTTACTACATAGTGAATGTTTATCTAATTTTATTAAAGATTAGACCTGGGTAGAAATTGTTACCCGAAATACATAATAATTTACCCGGATAACCTGGATAATTTAATAATACCCGGGTAGTGATTTTCTCAACAGGTCCAATTTCTAAATTTTATAACCAGCCACCTCTAATTTTTTAATTTTACAGCTATTTTCATAATTTCTGAAATATCTGATAAAAATTGACTGAATAGTTTTTCAGTCAATTTGGTTATTATTCTGGCATAAATAGATTCAATAAAATTACAGAATTGTACATATGTACATATGTACTGTACATAACTTTTACATTAACTAGTGTATTATACTTTATATCCTAGCTCTGTAGAAATTTTGGCCAACATTATTCACATAACAATTACACAAATTACAGTATATAAAGGACATGTTACATGTTATACTTGTTCATCAGATAATTTTAGCATTATAAATGTTGACACATTCAATTTTTGTTTGAATACTTGTTAAACATTTCTAAAATATGTTTAGTGTGTTTAGTTTGTGAGATAACATATATTTATCAAATTACAATGTAATCTATATGCGACATAATTTATATACCAATCATGCCAATATCACAAACTTAATCGAATCGGCCAGAACATTATTCATTCAATATTATCAGGTGTTTCAGAAATTATGGAAATAGCTGTAAACCAGAAATAGGATCTTTTACACTCCCACTTATTCTCAAAAAAAGTTAATTCTGAATCGTAATATCAAAAATAAACAGAAATTTTAATTAGCTAATACTGTATTTATTTAGATCACTTATAATAAAATTTAAATATTAAATAATAATGAATCAAATATAAATCAAATAAATTGCGATTTCTTTATTTAAAGTAATCATTTATATGAGTCTGTTGAGCAGACTTGACCATTTGTACTCTAATAAATTTTTCAAGAGAATTAACTAACTTTAATTACTCGTTTGAGCCCTCTTGCTGAAGCAAAAAAATTCGAACATTTTCTAGATTACTTAATGCAGAACTACTACTAACAATTGCAATTTCAACACTATCATCCCTTTCATCATCTATGATATCAATGCCTTCATCATCTATATTTTCAGCTTCCTCATCTTTTCTGAATGTATATGCAAACTCTTTAATAATCTGGTCATCCGGAGGAATCTCATTAACAAGATTCTTCTCACTTATTGTAAGGAATTCATTAACTTTCATCGAATTAGAAAGATGGTGCGTATTATTAAGTGCATTAACAAGTTCATCAAGGCTTGAATCATTGGTTCTACAAACCTCATCAGATAATTCACGAACCTCGGGGTCGATGGTATCCAGAAGAATTTTTGTATAGTGCCAACAGTTACGGATAGTCTCAACCGAAACTTCTTTCCAACCCTTTATTATATATTGAATAGCTTGAAGAATATTTATTTTCAAATACTGAATAAAAATACCTGCTTCGACTTGATCTAACATCTATCTAAAAAATAAAAAAAAGTTAATGCATATGCTAAAATAAACACTGTATTATCTCAAATAAGCGTTATTACAGTAACCAATTGATAGTTTTTATACCATAACTAACATCTAACAAACCTGAGTTAATAATGATAATAGGCTTTTTAAAAGCCATAATGATATCTGCATCCATTGGTTGTATTATTAAGGTTGTATTTGCAAAGAGAAAGTGAACATCAACACAGCAAAAAGTCAACCCATTTAACTTATGGCTGGAGCATTGATCAAGAAGTAAAAGAACACGCTAGCCATTATATTTTCGAAACATTTGGAGATCAAACTTCTGAAGCCACTCTTGAAATAAAACTATAAACATCCAAGCTTTAGCATTATTTCAATATATCATTGCCAAATTCTGAATGTTTACATTTTTAAAATACTGGGGTTGGTATACTTGCCAATTACAAGAGGTTTAGTTTGTAGAATCCATCGGCATTAGCACATAAAGCTATAGAGAGGCGCTCTTTATTTTTTTTACGTCCTGCAAGGCGTTGTATTGCTAATATCTTATCCAGCTCCAACCTAATACAATAAATTGGGTATTAAAAAAAAAAAAAAAGTATATATACTATATAAGTATCACAAAATGAAAAAGACAGGGAAATCTTAAAAGATTTCACTATTTTTTTTTTATTTTGTGATACTCAAATCATAATAATCCAAAATTTACTGGTAAAAGAGACCCGTCTTATCTATATTATAAATTTGGTTGAGAGGTACCGAGTACACAGATCATTCAATAACAGCAAGGATCGGGCAATTACATTCAAGTTAACAGAATCTGCTTCTCTATGAAGCTTTTGTTGATAGACTCTATTCCTTTTCTTGAATTTTTGAAGCTATCCGGAAGAGAACTGCAACTTATCTTCAGGAACACCAAGTTCATTTGCTAGCATTTTAGCTTTTTTGATTAACAAAGCATCGCTTAAGATAGTCTGATGCTAATATATTAAAATAAATTTTTTTAGGGTGAGCTCAAGCTCTAGTACCGCAACAGGTTTGTGTTGTTTGGCATCAGGGTTTAAAACTTCATTAGCGAGTCATTTTTCCTTGGCTTGAAGGATCTGAGTAATTGTAGATTTATTAACTTTGACCCCCTATTTATTTTCAATTCATTTAACATATTCAGGCCTGGTCTCTTTATTGTCTCTAGCATAAATACAAAACTCATATTTTTGTGAGTCTGTTAAAGTAACCTTTTTTTTGGTCATTATTAACGTTGTATTGAAGACTTTGTCTAAATAAAAAAAATAGTATTAGTATTCATATTCAATTAAAGTTGATTACAAGTCACATCACTACTACTAGAGTGATAGTAAAAATATACAAGGCAGTATTCTGTAAATACCCTAGGAGTGTTATCTCTAATGCTTACCTTATCAATTTTTTAGATGAAAAAAAAAGAAAAAAAAAAAAAGAAAAAAAAAAACCAAAGCGGGAAAGATCTTTTTTTGAAAATATATCACTAAAGTATCTTTATATACTTTGTACTCTCAAACCGTTATTGTAAAAAAAAAAAAAAAAGTTCCCACAAAAAAAAAAGGAAAAGTTTTTACAAAAAAAAAAAAAGGGAAAAAGTTCCCAAAAAAAAAATCCTCCACGTATTCAAGCAGCCACCAAAATGAACACTTCGTAATGTCAATTTGCTTGATCAATGACAATGCACACACACAAGAGAAGAACATACAGACTACTTAATAATAAATATGAGTTAGTTAATATTAAACACACTAATTATTACATTGTCATATCACTCACTTTACTTTTTTTGCCTTTCTCACCACAATATCTAATTCCTCTACTATAACGACTTCCACCTTACTCAAGGCAACTCGATGTTAATTCTTAGATACTGGTGTTCAAGAACAGTTAGAAGTAGAAGTTTAATCTTACAAATCAAGTCTCTTTTATATTAACTCTAACCTTGAAATCTGATTGGGCAGAATTATCATAAGATTTTTTTTGTGTATATTCAAAATAAGATTGTTTTTTATTGGATAAAAATCATGTGATGATGTATTTATGAAGAGATTTAAATAATAAATATTTTAAAAACATTGCACGTGCAGAATATAGAGAGTGTGCATTTATAATATAGTCCTGACTTGAAACCAAATATTAGGTTCAATTAGAGAGGGTGTGCATTTATAGAGCGTGCATTTATGGAGTTGTGACTGTATATATTTACTTAGCACCAAACCTAGTTTTGGAGTATTTTTATTTACTTTTTATATAAAAATATATATAATTCTGTTTCAAAATAATGCCTATATGTGTATTTAAAATAATATATACATATTCAAAATAATATACAGATACTCGTTATTTCAAGAATTTATAGTATATAGTATTTAAATTTTTAATATAGATATTTTGTATTTTTTTGTAAAATTTATAAATAAAATATACTTTAATTTATTTAAAAATTGTTCTAATATTAATAAGAATTTTGTAAATAGTAATATATCACTACTCTGATCAACTAATTAAAATGCAAGATCAAGTATAATGTAAAATTGAAGTAATTATGATTTTTTTTCAAAAATCAATCTTTTGTGCTCTAACAAAAAAATTTTTTATAATATTTTGAATTAAAAACTTTTTGCTAAAATATGCTATTCTAACTTAAACCTATCCCTTTTTTTTTTTTTTTTTTCTTAATATATAATTAGTACTAACTTCATTCTTTTTTATTAGACTCTAGCTTCT